ATTTGTATGTATGTAATACAAAAATACATAATAAAGGTGACCAGCAAGACTGCTCAAGTGAAGGAAAAAAAAAAAAATACATTAGTTAAGAAATAATAAAAGTTTTGAAAAGAAATACAATGAGAAATAAAAACAATTACATAATATATACAGATAAAATAGCAAACTTAAAGACTAAAAAAGATATAAGAATTAAAAACAGTATAGATATAGGATAGATGCAGACAAACAAAACTTAAAAATAGTAAGAAGAAAAGATAACACTAGGTTTAGAAGAATGACAAATATCAACAATAGATGAGTTACTAGCAATATAGATGCAATCTTAATAGTACCAAAAGAAAAACAAATAGAAGTATATACAGATAGTAATGCTGTAATAAGAAATATTAGTAAAATTTTAAAACAAGCAAACAAAAATAAAATTCTCAAAAAGAAGAACATAATATAGATAATGAAAATTAGAGATCTTATTATGACAAAAAATATTCAAATAGAATTTTTTAAGATTAAAAGTCATATAAAGATAAATAGAATGATAAAGTTGATAGTTTAATAAAAAAATATAATAAGTAAAAGAATAATACAGATTAAAGAAGTTAGTTGTAAAAAGATAGAGTACTGCCTAGAATGAGAAAACAAACATACTGATATACTAATAAGACTGTTTTTTAAATTAATAATAGAAGCAAAATAAAAAGAAATAAAGAACTAGAACCAGAATCAGAAGTTATAATTTACAACTAAATATACTTTTAAAAAAAACTAAAGATAACTAAAGAAATATACTGCATAACAAAAAGAAGTAATGTCAGAAGAAATGTGTATAATAGATAAACTTTTAATATTAGAAGAACTTAACAAAAGAAAACTAGATGTATACACAATAACAGAATATTAAGTATGTCAAAACAAGTCAAAAGAAATATAGACATATTTGACAGTATGTAAAAAACAGAAATTTTTAAAAAAGAATTTAGAAAATAACTATTATGACAGTCTAGAAAGGGTTAAAAAAAATAAAAAGTTTGAGTCACTTTATATATGTTATATACAGTACTTTTTAGGAAAATAGAAACAGAAGAAATAAAAATAAAAAAGGCACTAATTAAAAATCTTATTTCAAAAAAAATACAAAACAAATTGAGATACAAAATTAAGGCAGCAGTTTATGAATATAATAGCAAAAATGGTCTAAGATATATTCTATAGATAAGTATAGAGAATTTGATATAAAAAATTAATAAATGAAAGAAAAATAAAGAAATAATGAATAAAACAAAAAAAGAAGAGAATAATACCAAATAAAAAAAAACTAAATCAACAAAAAATTAAAAAAAAAGAAGATAAAAAAAAAGAAAAACAAATAGAAAAAAAGTACAAAAAACAATTTTAAAATTTGTTATAGAAAAAAGAAGACCCTTTCATTATAAACTTTAAGTAGTTAGATAAGTGGCTTACTTCTGCTTGGAGTAATACAGCAAGTTGCACTTTGATACCATTAGGATAATTAGATAATGCTGGACTTAGATATTAAGAATATTTATATAATTATAAATATAATTTCAAAATCTTAATAAAATACTAATATGGATGTAGCAATCTAGTGAAATAGTCAGGTTGTTAACCCTTCAAGTGGTAGGTTAAGTGTTCAAATCCTATTGATAATAAAAATTTAGATAATTATCTATGTAATATTCATATTACAACAATTGTTATTAATGATTAGGTTAGGATACTTATAATAGTAGTCATACTAGCATAAATAGCAGATCATGAAACATTCATGTAATAGTTATATAATATTGTTCTTTAGGACAAAGTTTATAGTTATATAAAGAAATGCAAACAGGCAATTAGGCAGTGCAAACATTAGATAAGTTCTTGTGACCATGTAAATCTATTGAAATTAGATAATAATATGTTCATTTGAAAAGACCTAAATAGAGAAATAGCTGAATCTTTAATGTCTCTATTGTAAAAACTAGTCTAGAGAAATGGATACCAAGATTGTAATATTTGATTATAGTAGCCAGATGGACAAAAACCTTTAGGTTAGGAGTCTTAGAGGTACTACCAATCAGATTACCAGAATGAACTAGAGGAAAAGAATATCAGGCCAATCTAATATACTGATAGACTGGTCATAATTATATACAGATTATTTGAATTAGGAGTTTAGTAAAAAAACAGATGAAAAGACAGAGGTATACTAAAGTACCAGAGTTATGCTATAAAGTAAATGCTAAGGTCTAAGTGAACTCTACAAAGACATAGCAGTTTAATAGTTAAGCCCTAACTATAAGTATTAGTTCTGCTATAGCAATATCTAGATTAGTTATAAAAATAGATACAAAAGACTTTAGAACATTTATTTCGAAGATAAAATAGTTCTAAGGTTGAGACAATGATCTAGGCATCAGGTATAACCCAGTGAAGTTAACAGATTTGCAGATTCAAAAGGTTTAAAGTAAAATATCCAAACAGAAGTATTAGATATAGCAATTGGTAAAAAACCTTTGGATGAACTTCTTAAATAGGTAATATAGAAAAGTTATATGTGTAGTCAATTGTATACTCTTCCTGTAGTGGTTTACTAACTATATTTATTATTGTTAAATAAAGTCAAAAAACCCAAGAGGTCATCTTAACACCAAAAAAAAAATAAAATACTAATATAACTGCTTAAATTTAAAAAAAAAAAAATAGTGTAATTAATTAGATTTAGGTAGTAGTAAAGTTGGATTCTAAAACCTATTTTTTTAGATCAAAGGTTTAAAGTTTCAATTATAAGTTGCAAACCTTTAAACTAGTGCTAAAATTCTAAATTGTTGTTGAAATTTCAAACTAATGCTAAAATTCCAAAATGACCAAAATCTAGAACTTTGCTAAAATCTAAAACAAGTACAGAAATTCCAAACTAGTATCTAAATTCCAAATCAATACTAAAACTTCAGACTAGAATGATTTTTCTAAAACCTAAACCAATACCTAAATTTCAAACCAATGCCAAAATCCTGAATCAATAAACTAATACTTAAGTTTAATATTAAAATATATACTAAAATGTATATTATATAAGTTAGCATATACATATAAGAAATTTGTTTGAAATTTGACATCATTTTGAGATTTCAACACCAGTTTGGAATATCAGCATCGATTTGAGATTTCGGTATCAGTTTGGGATTTCAGCATTAGTTTGAAATTTGGGTTTCAGTTTAGGATTTAGGGTTTGGAATTTAGGAAAAAATTATCGTATACAAAATTACCATAGCCTAAACCTAGAGGGTTTAGGAAGGTTTGGGTTTCGGAACCCATCTCTAGGTAGTAGTATCAATAATATAATTATCTGTGATGCCGAGTTTACCTTGCTATTGGCAGCAGTGCATCACTACCTGGATTGACCAATCATATATTAGTTTTAATTTATTTTAGCAATAAGTACTATTATAATTATTAAAAATCTTAATATATATTAATATAAATGCATCATAATTTTTTTATGTTATATCAAATTTGATTGGTCAATCAGTTTCGTCACCTTTCAATTTGTATTTTTAAAATTTTTTTGACAAAACCTCTAGTTTCGTATAACAACATTGCTCTCACTACTTATATACTGGTGGAAGTATTCATTAGCGGAGTAGAAATTCGTATATCCAATATGCAATAGTTTGTTTAGGTTCTAATTTATATTGTAACTTTAACTTATAAAAATAGTATCTTTTTTGCAAAAAAAAAAGCTTAGAAATATTATTATTAAATAAAATTTTAATATTTGCATAAATTAATTAGCGTTATAGTTTGATCAACAGGAGGAACCGTCGATGTTATACGACTGATCCTTCATCAGGTGTGCAACATATAAAAATATTATTTTACAATACCGCTAGTACATGTTATGTTTATAATCCAACACCATTTTATTATAATGAAGATGGTGTTGGATTATAATCATAAAATGTACTATTGGAATAATCCGACATTGTAAAATAATTTTTTTATATGTTGCACACCGGGTGAAGGATCAGTCGACGGTTCCTCCTGTTAGTTTGATCATCCTATAATTCCGATCTAACATTTTCCGAGAACAATTTTCTTCTATTGCTATGTATTTTAAAAGTCAGCTACTATATCTTGAACTAAAAGTCAGTATCCAAAATTTAGATTCAATTTTTGGATTAACCTAAAACAGGATCAGTTGAACTGGGAACCGGACATTTCCGAGAATTCGTAGAGTATAGTTCGAAGGCTTTCGCTTCACTCCCCTCAGCTCTGCTAATAATATGGTGCTCATTAATCACGTGACATAACTTGCGCAGCATGATACTACTCGATCGCAACTAAATAATCGAAACTATCCTAATCTACTCTAACCAACCTAGACTAATCCTAAATTATCAATATCCAAAAGTGCGTTACGTAACAAGATTTAGCGGCAACACCAATGACAAAAGTATTTTACCGTTCCAATAGCGACGACACCAACGACGAAGGTACTTTCGCACATAACCGAACGAACCAATTTATCGTTACCTCAAAAAAAACCCCCAGTTAGTAAAAAGCATCCACAGTTCAGAACAATCAGAACAACAAAGAATACTTTCTGACATACGCCCAATAATTGGAACGAAAGACTCACTCCTTCGCTCAATAGCTGGAAAAAAAGAAGCATTAGTCAAATTCAACCAAAAACAACAAACAGAATTATACTTTTTCGGATTTTACAGCTCAGATACACGCTAACAAACATAGGAAAAAAAGGTTATAGCTACCAACCATAACTCCTAACGCTAACACAACAAATCTCCTGAAAATAGTTAAACGGTCTAGCAACAACTTCGCAATCCAAAAATGCGAACCGTGAACAAGACCCACCCGTCAAAATCGACAACACTGAAAAAGAAGCTACAAAAGCAAACAAAATCCAAGCAAACATTAGTATCAACAACGATGACAACTCACATCAAAAGTGACGTGAACAAGTCCCACCCATCGAAATCGAAGACACCGAAAGCGACGATACAAGATGGAACAATATCCCAGCAACGATAACGACTCACCAAAAATGATGAAACGTAATCAAGACCATCCTAGCATGTCATTTTACGACCCTCTAGAAAAGAAAGAAAAGTCAGTTGACGAAAGAAAACAAAAAAGAGAAGAATTAGTACTTAAATTGTACCAGTTCCACAAAACTCTCGGCAATCCCGGCGAAGGACGTACCTACAAAAAAGTTAGTGATGAAAGTAAAGAGATAGAATAACTGTAAAAAGAGCTGGTACTTCAATTGTACCAGTCCACAAGACAAATTCACCATCCAACGAAGAACATAACTACAAGATCTCAATCTCGGTCCCCATTAACCCTTCCCAGCGAAGTACAGACCTACTAAAGAGAAAGAAAACATTAGTAAAAAAGACAATAAATAAATAAAAAAAACTAAATCGAAAAAAAAAAGAATTTTACTAACTATAACCGGCGGTGACGATCACAATTACTTACGATGTTACGTTTTATTTTAATACAACTACGACTTATAACATATTGGCTACGCGCGACTACGGTACAGTTTGTGTTGCTTCGCTTATTCTCAGCAACACGTACAGGGTTCGCTTCGCTCACCCTGTAATCGCTTCGCTTTGGCTGTCACCTCCGCTTCGCTCCTTTTCTCTGAATGCTCAATATAATCAAATCCAATCTTAATTCTGACATAACCCTAATCTACGACGTCACAAAATCAAAATCCAATACGAAAAACATGACGCACAGCACGAAGAATAGAACGACAATTTGAAAATTCTATATTTGGATACAAGCAAATACCTTCCTAATGTGCAAATCACCCACATGACCCGTAATTTTGAAGGCCCTGGAATGTTTTTCGTATATCAGTTTCGTACATCAAGTTAAAAATTGATGTACACGATGTTACACGAAACTGATTACAAAATCATTATCCTTTTATATCTGTGTAACCGGTAATTTGAAAAAAAAGATCGAAAGTGTAAACTTTAAACATAAATGCTTGTGACAGGTTGATTAAAGTCATACGTACGTACGCACGTACGTATGTAACAAAGAAGTTATTCTCAATGGAGCAATCAATGAAATTGTTCTCCATCAATATAAAAAAAAATGTGTGCATTATAATGAAACAGTACGTATTCCTGCATGGAAGAACCTTGGTACGTAGGAAATATGAGACATAACAGGTAAGTCTACCTCGAGGATATACAAAGTAGTCCTAGATTATGTAAGAATTATAAATATGTAATTACATAATAACAATCATTAATAAAGATCGCAAGACCAAAAGGTCGCTTATAAAAAAAAAAAAGAAGAAAGTTAATACGTAATCATCTAACGCTAAGTTTTACGTATTACGTTTTTAAGATCACACTTTTTTTACATTTTTATAGTTAAGAACTTTGACGCTTAAATTTATGCATGTGGGGACCAGTAATAAAAATGTAAAATTGTAAAATGTAATTTTCATCCTTAGTTGTGCCTTTCCTCTATGGTATAATTTTGCGTCAGCTGCAATCTCTAACCTGAGGTACAACATATAGATATGTACATAATAATGATAATACAGAATCCGCCTTTACAGATAATCATCAAATTTATGGTTTACTTTGTGCGGCAATAAAAACTCCTAAAAAGGAAGCATGGTGGACAAACTTCCAATTTGGTAGTGATCGACACAATTTAATAAATTTTTTTTTTTTTTATACGCTTTAAAGTACTTTATACTCTCGTGATTTTTCAAAACTTACCAATTAAATACGTTTAAAAAAAATAAGGGAAAATTAATCAAAAATAATCAGTATTTAAAAAGTTTTATTAGAGACGAAGTTTATAAGAGATCTAAGGTAGTTAAACCTGTAATTCGGTATACGAAGGCATTTCAGTGTTAAAATAAAAAAAGAACTAAGATCTCAAATAATATTTATGCAAAGAACTGAGTAAAAGGCTAACTACGTTTTATACTCTTTAAAATATAAAAAACTATATTATAACGAATTATCGTTTTTATTTTTACTATTTTACTAAATTTTAAATATTATCATTCTAAGGTACAATATAAAAACGATTTGAAAGAATATGTCTTACTAATTGGATTAAGCAGAGATAATAAATTTGTAAAGAAAACAGAATTTTTAATAAAATAAATATAAGCGAAATTGGAAATTAGATTATTGATCATATTTCATGAACTTACAGTTAGAATTTAATAACTTTTATATCATTCGCTTCGCCTCAATGAGACGAATCGAATGATATAAAAATTATTAAAATTCTAGTCACTAGATCACAAGATACCTTCGATTTAGTAAAATACAAATTTTAAAATGTGATTGACAATCCTAGATTTTTTATTGGACAACTTGGCTCTGAGTCATAAATTTCAAATCTGGAAGGCTTGTGTAACGATAATTGTCCTAAAAAGAAATCGAATCAATGAATTCAATTTTTGATAATTCCGACATAAATTGTAAGAAGATAATATTTGCATAGCTGCATTACATGATAATCTATCAAATTTCCTTTATTGTGAAGTATCAGGCTGAGATTTTCTTCACTATATAGTTAGTCTATTAGTAATTCGCTATATCGGAAGGATTTTTATATAAGCTGGTCTTCACTGTAATTTATATATTTTAATTTTTTGGAAAGTTTCCCACGTAACCGAAATAAGAAATCAACAACTCAATTTAATAAAATTACTTACTTGTTATATATGAGTGCGTGAGAGTGAAAATCAACGGGTTTCCCCGCTCATACACTCATTCGAATATAAATCAAAAAATATTATCATGAAATCTAAAAATCCCATTGGCTAATCGCCCTTACCCTAACCAACAATATATATCATTGATATCTAGTACTATTACAATTCTGGATATAATGTTACCTAATATACGTCAATTTGTCCAGCTATGATGATCCCATCACCGGCTTTTTCCTGAGCCCTTTCTATCTATGGACTTAACATCTTCGCTTTGAATTGGAAAATGTGCACAATCGTTCATAAGATATTGTGCATCTGGCGAAATATTTTTTCGCAAGTATGTGCATGTTGTAAAACTTATCATTTATTGAGTCCGGATATCTTATAGTATAGGAAATCTCTTTAATAAAAATGGTTTATTAATAATTTGATTACAATTAATTATGAAGTGAATCCAACTACAAGAGATCTAATTTGTACTAGTTATCAGTTGATAACTGATTATTCATCTACTAAAGACTCGACTAGAGATGGGCAAATTTATTATGTATTCTTATTTAATATTACTTAATGTTATCTAATTTTTTGAGCATTAAGTATTAATAAATCACTCTGCGATAATTCTATTTTTAGTGGCAAAAATTTAATCTCAGCTTTAATTAATATCATTTCTTACCGTTATCATCATATGATAGTAATAAGTAAGAATTTGTTTAATTCATCATATGATAGTAATAAGTAAGAATTTGCTAAACTCATCATTGATAACTTTGCTATCCGACATGTCTGGTGTAACCACTGTGTAATTTATTCGACTACCTGCTAATACAATGTACAACCTGCTAATACTGTACAACCTGCTAATGTACAAATTTTCACCCACCTTGTAAGAGGTGAGTATATTGGATTAGGAAGTGATCGAATAAGTTACTTACCCGATATACACCTTATTATACTTGATGGCTTTTGCGTCAAAAAGAAAATCTGTTATTTGCCCGATATTTACTTGACAGGCTTTCCTTATATGTAATATTTAGTCATGATTTAGAATGAAGAATTAAACCATTTTAGCTATATTTTAGCATCTTTACGCAAATGTCATAAGCATTGAACCGAAAACTTAATTTTTTATCTCCATATAAAAAAAAAATTTTTTAATAAATAATTTGCAAATATTTAATATAAAATGCCAATCCTATTCATACGACTTAATTTTTTATCTCCATATAAAAAAAAAATTTTTAATAAATAATTTGCAATTATTTAATATAAAATGCCAATCCTATTCATACGACTAAAATTAATAAATGACTTAGATGTTGGTTGAATTCTTCGCAAAGCTTGATCCCATAAAACATTCATCATAACTTCTTTCTGATAATATATTTTATTGAAATACAGTTTGAGAAGAACTAGAGCTCTGGAAGCATGACTCTTCAATTAAACTCTTTCAAGACCAAAACAAAAACGATACCTTGTATTGAGTTAAGTAATTTGGTCAATATGTCGAAAATTAGTGAAGGTGGTTCTGGTATGTAAGTTAATGTTAATTTAAAACTAGAGCAGGTAACAAGATTAGAATACGTGACGAGCTGGTGGCGAGTTGGTAACAAACATTGAAATCTGGCAAGGGTTATAGATAAAATTGCTTTCCCAACATTTTTTAAACACCCATTTCGAGGTTTTTTAATTTATGCAGATCACTCAAATAAGGAAATTTGAAAAAAAAACAAAAAATACTGCTATCTCTGACCTTTTATGTATTACTCAGTGACCTGTTAATGCTAGTTTGTTTGAGTATTAGTTACCTAGTCAAATTCTATATATGCTCTAAAAGCAAAATCAATTTTTATTTAGGCTCAGTAAGCAGAGCTTACTGTACAAGAACAAATGAATATGTTGCATGCAAGACATTGGATGACATTGATAAATTAATTAATGAGGAAACGATATTTATTATGCTAAATTTCAATAAAAACATTATTCGATTTTTAGGAGGCTGTAAAGGTATTTTTATTTGTGCTATTTTTTCATTGTGTTCAAATTACTATATTGGTATTAATTCTCTTATAATGTTTCTACAATTTGACGCAGATGATATGAACAATAAGTATTATCTTATTACAGAATATGCGGATGGTGGAGATTTACAAAATTATCTTCGAAAATATCACCCTTCTTTGATTTGGAGTCAAAGATTGATTCTGGCTTTTCAAATTACAAAAGGGTTACGTTACTTGCACAGCAAAGAAATTATTCACTGTGATCTGGTAAGGTGTCCTTTAGATAATGACCTTATTAATATTTAAATCAATTTTTTTTATACTTAATAAAATTTTATTTTAGCACGATAAGAACGTTGTGATTAAGAATGGTAACGCAAAAATTATCGATTTTGGAAATGCTGAAAGTGTTAATACACAAACAAAATTTCATAATGGTCCAGTTGGTGTAATGCCTTATTTAGCACCCGAATTACTTAATGGATTTAATAATATTTCCTATTGCAAGAAAATGGATATCTATAGTCTGGGCATGTTATTTTGGGTATTAACTAGCGGTCATCGGCCATTCGAAGATCAATTAAACTCTGGTTTTATAGAATGTGTTGCTTTACACAGTCTTATTATTCAAGGCAAAAGAGAAGAAATAATTCCTGGAACTTCTCAAGCTTATGTTTATCTTTATTGTAGATGTTGGGATGATAATCCGAATATGCGTCCTAATATTGAATCAGTTTATCATGACTTAAAAATATTAAAGGATGAATCATAAAGGTATATGTGCAATTTCTTTATTTGATTTTTTTTGCATATTATAATCAACCAAAACTAATTATTTATCTATTATATGTTATATTTATTATAATTTATGAAATTAATATGTAATCTGATACATCGAAGTTTTTATACAACTATAAATCAATTTTTATGATAAGATACCAAAAGACAAAACAGAATTGTAAAATTATTAACTAAGATTAATTTTCATTGTAATGAAATAAGCTAGATATGAACAGAAATCATGTATGTACAAAATTTTTTTAGGATCTAGATTAGGGTGGTTGGCAAGTTGGCAATCTCATGTCATTTTGGCAACAATGGCATGACATGGCGGGGCAAAAGAACTTTACAAAAATTTTCAAATTTCGAGTTATGCAATTATTTGGCAATAAAATCACTCTTAAGTACTTTATAAGCTTTTAACAAATTGGGAGTTCGATTCTAAATTAGTAAAATATTTTTAATATTTAAGATCTATTAAGCAACTAATTTTTAGTTTTTTTAAAAAAAAAAATTAGGGATTTTATCTTGCTTCATAAGGATCAACGAACTTGAAATTAAACTAGAGTGGTAAAATAATGTCGCAATTAGATGAAATTAGTTTCACCAGCATCTCTAGACGAACCCGAACCAAATCGAACTTTAAACAGGTTCGGATTCGGGTCTGAATATTAAACTTCAGGTTTGGTTCGAGTTCATATGCAGAAGGTTGTCTGATTGGCTAATAAATTCAAATTAATTTTACATTATTTATACAGTTTAGAGTACTTTTTAAAAAAACCATAATAAAGTAAAAGAAACTATATAGAAGATTTCATTAGAGCTGTAGGACTCCATAACCAAAAATAAGACCTAATTCTCATCCATTTAAAAAAGGTAGTATAGTAATAACTTCTCAAAACCCGATAAAATCAACTTATTACTAAGCTAATTTTTTTAAACGGACGAGAATTGGATCTTATTTTTGATTATGGAGTCCTACAGCTCTAATGAAACCTTCTATATGGTTTTTTTTTTACTTTATTATTGTTGGTTTTTTTTTTAAAAAAAAAAAAGTACTCTAAACTGTATAAATAATGTAGCCAATCAGACGAACTTCTGCCTATGAGGTTCGAGTCTGGCTCGAAAGTTTGCAAACATATTTGAAAGTTCGGACCTAATAGGAACATTCATGAACTTAGATTAATATATGCTTTTATACTAATTTAATGTGAATAAAATGAAATTTAATAGCAAATATTTATGAGCTTGGATAGATTATTTTGAATAATGTAGTAAAATGAAAGTTATGAATTTGAGAGCATTCATTAATTCAAGCATTTAAATAAGCAATTCAAGTTCATAAATATTTACTATCAAATTTTTCTTTTATTTGCATTAGCGCAAATGAGTAACTCATACAGGGGGATCCCCAAAATTCCGGGTAGGAATACTTTGGAATCATGATCGGCAGAGCTGGAATTAACTAATTTTGCCCAAGATCACTAAAAGTTTTACTAATGAAACCATAGCTCACTCATTAAGTAAAGCTGCCCAGCTGATAATTTTGGCCCAAAAATAGTTAATTTGTATTACTAAATGCTAACTAAATGCCAGGCTAAATCCGATGGTTTCGACCCGGAATTTTGGGGATCCCCTTGTATGAGTTCAAATGAGTATATCAAAGCAGCCCTTCCAAAGTTTGGGTCGATGATCGACTCCCGATTGATGATCGACTCTGATCGATGATCAACGTTATTGCGCAGCTTTTTTTTTTTCATTTCTAATCGTATGGTTTTTTATATGAAAATATCTTCCTTATTTGAAAAATTACTCACAGCAACTGCATGCTCTCCAACACGAACTTTGGTTTATATGAAAACCAACTTTTTATAAGAACTTGAACTTTTTACAGTATATTGCACATCTAAAAACAATTTTTAGGCTTTCATGCTGTTATTTTTTTTTTTTTAAAAAAAAAAAAGATGCGTGCAGTGTTTAAAATTCAGTGACTTTATGGTTTTTTCAATGTGATACCATTGTCAAACAAATGTTTTCTTGAACTATTTAACTATTTACAATTTGAAAGATTATTTTTTTGCTTCTAGCAAGTTATTAATAGTTTAGATTTATTATATAAATTTTATGGAATGAATTTTTAAAAGATTTTAGGGATGCAAGAATTATAAAAATATGCTTTTTATTATTAGACATTGAAGAACAAGTTTCATTAATTCTATTTAAGATAAACTTTCAAAAGTTTTAAATCATTAATTCTTATCTTGACAAATCATTAGTAGATTAGATTAAAAAAGAAGATTATGATTTTTGTAATTCAACAGATTATAATGATGATGATGACAAATTTTAAATTTGTAATAATTTTTGTAATATATTTAAGAAAACTTTGATATTTAATATAATTCAATTTAATAAACTAGTATTTTGAAAAGGTCATATGGGTTAAGTTTAAGGTCAAACTTAAGCAAAACTGGGTTGTATTTTAACTTACAGTTATTATTATAATTCTTAGAACATCTGATAAAATTTGTCAAATGATTTTTCAGCTAATTTAGTTTAGTTATTAATTTTATATATTATACTTGTTCTACAATTTTATTATTAATTTAACATTATTAATTTTTATTTGAATACTTTATTTAAAAACTATATATAGATACAATATATATATATATTATATATATAAGTGATAGGCAAAAAAAAAACAGAATATCTAAAAATAGATTTTTTTATACAAAGAAGTGCAGACTTTAATACAACACAGAAAAATTTAATCTAAAACTAATAACATATAATTCTAATAGTTCATTCTTTCAATTATGTATTTTACTAATAACTTTTTAAAATATTACATTTCTCTATATAAAAAAAACTATTTTTAGATATTTCAATTTTCTTTGCCTATTACTTATATAAAGTATTTATAAAATACTTTCTTATATATATATTTAAGTTAATATATAGCTTTTTAAATTATATAACTAATTTTATATCTCAATAAAGTTTTATTTTGAACTGTAATTTATATAAATACTAGTTAAGTTTTTTATTCATTAAAGATTTTAAAATATTTTATATCATTTGTGTTTAGTAAACATGATTTCTTGAAAGTAATAAAAGTTTTTTATTATTTTTATAAATGTTTAAAAATCTAATTTATGAAAGACTTACTAATATCTAAGTTTTTAGCAATTTTTTAATAAGTTTTCTAAATTTTTTTTAGCTATTTGCTATCAAAGTTGTTTTAAAAGTATTATAATTCTATATTCAACAAAAATATTAAATTGTATATATATATCTGATATATTAATTTATCTATTGAATTTATTATTTCTAAAATTACAAGCTTAGCTAAATTGATCAATATTTACAAAAATTATGATAATAATTATAAAACTAATAACATGTGATTATTTATTGAATAGATTTATTCAATTATAAATTAAAAGGTTTAGCTTTTTTTTTTAAAAAAAGAGGTCTATTCTCTATCTCTTTTATTAATTAGTTAATTAATATATATAAGATACATGAAGAAGCTATACTAAAGAAGATGAAGGTAAGAGCTATTTTACTCTTAACCTATTCTTTGCTAAATAGTTAATAAACCTTTAGTCTTTGATAAGCTAGTAAAAAGAAAATTGTCTATATATAACATAATATTATATTTTTTTATTTAGTAATGCATGTAAGATTAGTGTAATTTTAACTAATATTAATAGTTATATCAGAATTGGAATTGGAATAGCAGATTTGTGTTTTATTACTCTAAAGGTAAGCTAGATTTTTTTGTATATTGCAGAAATAATATTATAATAAATAAAAGATATATATTTATATTTGTGTTAGAGTTGAATCTTATAGCTTAGTATAATTGGTAATTTGGGAAAAACGGCAACTCTGTCTGCAGATCACTTATACCAAATTTTTGCTAAAAACATTTAATTATTCTCAAGTATTTTAC